ATTCCAGTCCAAATGCACTCCTACTTAGTTGGAGGACCAGCTGTGAGGAGAATTTATAGGTCTGATGATTTTATTATGCAAGGAGTAGTAACCATCTTCACAACAATACAAGCTCCAGGAGTACACTATGATAATCTTCAATATCTTTGTAAGTTACCGCTATGTTGACCTTTCTATCCCATTCAACCTCCCAGTAACAGCCTCCAGTCAGACCAATTCTATGTCGCAACTGGGGCCAAGCTTCATATCGCTCTGGATGATGAGGATATGGCTTCCCCTCACTCAGCAGTATCACAGTCCTATTGTCGTCAAACAGGAAGAGATGTATCTGTGCTGTTTTGGTCCAGTTTGTGCTCACAGTCATCTGATTAGAAAACAAGAAAAAAAACCAGATTAATTTAGAAGTCAGAGTTGAAAACAAGCAAACAGTGAAAAAAAAATATATATGTATACACACAAATGCATGGATCAATCGGAACACATACATATTAGAATCATTTAGAATAAAATCTTCAACATCAAGTGTTCTTCTGAAGTTCTCAGGTTTATCCATACTCAATACTGATGGACACGGCACTGCATGGGGAAGTTGTTCTTTCCTGCTGGGCACTGATAGAAAATAAGTGATATTAAAATTATAATGTAATTCATGGTACAATTAGTTTTAGTTTTCTTAAAATCTGAGTGATAATGAGATTAAGGATTGTACTTTAGTAACTAAACTGACCTCAAATGAACTTAGGTGGAGGTTTTAAGTAAATACACAGGGGCGGTCTTAGCCTGTTTGGTGCCCTGGGCGAACAGAGAATCCCGCGCCGCCCCCACCACGATGCCACCCTGGGCAACTGCCCGTGTCGCCCATATCAAAAACCGCTACTGTAAATACAATATATGTAAATACAATGTTAAGATTAACATTAATGAGGAAAATATCAGACAATCAAATGTGTTGTCTTTTGGAAAGTTGGTACATAATGTACATATGGCAGTCTAAATTGTGGATTTGGTGCAGATAATTGTACAGAAAAACATCAAAAACATTATTTCATTCCCACCTATCACAGCCAGTCTGGTGTTCCTTCTCAAAGTTTTCAAATTTATCCATAGACATCTCACTTCTCATGGAGACACAGATTCCTGGAGGGGCGATTTTTTCCTGGTGGTCTGGTAGAAACACACA